TTAAAATCTAATTTATCTGCTATGAGAATCGCTACCCCAGCCTTCTTTTGAGGCCCATTGACATGAAAGATGCTTCTCCATCCCTTCACTTTCAGTCTGGATGTATCTTTAGGTTCAAAATGGGTCTCTTGTAGACAACATATGGATGGGTCCTGTCATTTTATCCAATCTGCAACCCTGTGCCATTTTATGGGCTCATTTAGGCCATTCCAATTGAGAGTGATTATTGATAGATACGTTTTTATTGACATCGTGTTACCTTTGAAGTCTTTCTTTCTGTAGATTGTCTCTATATTTCTGTTCAATGCTATTTTTAGGATTTTTCTTCTTTTATAGAACTCCCCCTTAATATTTCCTGCAGTGTTGCCTTGGTGGTTGCATAGTCTTTTAAGCCTTGCCGGTCTTGGAAACTCTTTATCTCTCCATCCATTTTGAATGTCAGTCTTGCTGGATAAAGTATTCTTGGCTGCATGTTCTTCTCATTTAGTGCCCTGAATGTATCTTGCCAGCCCTTTCTGGCTTGCCAGATCTCTGTGAACAGGTCTGACGTTATTCTGATGGGCTTTCCTCTGTAAGTAAGGAGCCTCTTTGTCCTAGCTGTAAAGCCTACATGTGTATGATCGCACAGATCAGTTCCCATCTGACTGAGTCTTGTCTCTTAGTTCTAATGTTCTAAAAAGAAAGTTTAGCTCAGACAAGTCTGAATTTTTCCCCTAAGTTAGGTAACTATTTCTTCTCCAATTGGCTTCAAGTTTTGGGAGTAGGAGAAAGAAAAGAGGAGGGTATCCTTGAAGAGGTGGCACTATCTTGGATGCATTGCTTTCAAAGCCATGGGTCTAAGGCAGGGTAGCCAGGACTGGGGTGGAGGTAATCAAAACCTTCAACTTCCAGAAGAACCGATTTCTCTTCTTGAGATGGTCAATTATTTAAATGGTAGTAGAAATAAACAGGTAATGAACCTTTAAGTTACCTGGTGAACTCTCAGGAATTGCCAGGCATTTTTGACTGGGACCTGCTTAGTAATTTCTGAGAGGTTATCAAGTTGTAGGATAATGTGCTTGTACTAGCTGGCCATTATTTGTAAGGCATTCTTCCACTCATCTCTTGGCTTATGTGAATGAGGCTCTGGACACTAGAAGTTGTGGTATCACTGAGTTTCCCACAAAGCCTCTAGTTAGCCGGAATGGGGCATGATCTCAGATCTGATGACTGCATTAAGATTCCAGTAGTTTTTTTTTTTTTCAAGATTTATTTATTTGAGATGAGGTGGAGGAGGGCAGAGGGAGAGAATTCTCAAGCTGACTCCCCACTGAGCATGGAACCCGACCCAGCACTCAACATCACAACCCATGAGATCACAAGCTGAGCCAAAACCAAGAGCTGGATGCTTAACCAACTGAACCACCCAGGAGCCCCAGCTCCAGTAGTTTTGATAGAGTGGCACTCATCCTTTTTTCTTACATAGGAGTTCATGGGCAAGAACTATACTTTCATAGTCCAGATAAAACTGACCTCATATCCTGGCAGAATCAACACGTAGCACCCTCTCCTTGATGGGTAGAACCATCAAGAACATTGACTATCATTATCAGAAGACCTACAAAGTTATGAGCCAGAGGTCACTGCTCACTTCTCTGCAGTTCATATAAACCATGAGAATAGGTGTGTGATATAGTTTCTGTCAAATCTGGAGCTTAGAAGTAAAGTATCCTCCAGAAGTTGCTGGTCAATTTCTCTAGGAATGATGTTAGCAGTTTGCTGTGGGTGTGTATGATGCTAATGTACAAGGGCTTTGTATTCTACTCCCATCCTACCAGTTGCATGTGGAGTGTCATCTGTGAGAATTAGAACTTTTGACCCTGTCTCCACCTTCTACCCCAACCCCTACACTCATATGGGCAGTGGAAGACCAAGAAAACAGAGCCTCAGGGAATTTTGTTCCACTATCCCTCTCAACCAGTGGTTCTTAGGAGTTGAGCCAGACCTAGGAATGGGCATCTTTGAAGGTTCACATATTCCAGGAAGTAGAGGAAATTGCATCCTGAAGTGGTCAGGTTAAAGTTAAATAGACTGAAGCTAGGCTACAAGATCCAGATAGGGCTAGATGAACAGAAGGGATCAAATTATGAAGATAGATTACAGAATGAGAAAAAGCAACACATGAGAAGAGTAGAACCAAGTAGAAGAAAGGAAGTCTGGAGGAAACCTTTAATCCAGTATCCAAGTGTTCACAGAGATCATTTATCTAATGTCCATGACTACTGATGCAGGTATGCTGAAATCCAATAAAAGAGCCAAAACAAAACTGCACAGCTCCATTATTGTTAGTATTAACTCTTTAATTCTACATCCTTATCAACTTGCAAATTTATCCATCCCTCTCTCCTTTGCAGTTGTTTCCTAAGTCAGAGATTCTATCTCTTAATACTTCTCAATCTATTTCTATAATGACCAGAGTGATCTAAAACTCATTTAACTTAAGCACCTTCAATGCCTTTCTATTCCCTACAGAATTACTGAGAGTATATAAAACTATTTATGATCTTGCCCCATGCTATTTCTCTACTCTCGTCTCTCTCTTGACCCAATGACTTATTGGTATTTCCTGGAACGTGCCATTCTATTACATTCCTACATGACTTAGTTTTTCCAGATATTATCTGCAGTGTTCTACACTTATCAGTCTGGCAAATTCCTGCTAGTATTCTATGACTTTCTGCCTCTCTGAAATCTTCTCTGAGTCTCTGAAATCTTTCTATCGAGACAGAGTTGAAACCACTTTCTTCACAGACTTCCCCTATTGTAGTACCTACTGCAGGGAATCATAGTGATTTGAGAATCCATTTCTAAAAAGCATGGACCATGCTTAATTTCAGTGCTTTCAGAGCTTGGCACCAGGCCTGACACATGATAGGGTCTTAAATTATCACTTTTTAAAAATGATTTTATTTGAGACAGAGAGTGAGAGAGCACAAGAGCAGGGGTGAAGGAGAGGGACAAATAGAATCCCCTGGGGACAGGGAGCCCAGTGTGGGGCTCAATCCCAGTACCCTAGGAGCATGACCGTGCTGGTCATGGGCAGATACTTAACTGACTGAGCCACTGAGGTGACCCTTAAATTATCTTTGAATAGAGAAGCAAAATGCTTTGTTTAAAAGTGGGAGGAACTTGTCAGCAAGTTGTTGATAAACTTTTGGGTCCAAGATTCAATGTCTAAAATATGTGATATTCATTCCTTCATTAATTCAACAAGTGTTTCTAGAGCCAGGCATGGGAATAAAATGATGAATAAAAAGAGATATTTCTTTACTGCTCTTAGGGAGTTGAAGATTTATTGGGGAAAACTGTTACTACACTTGCTTGAATTATTAAATAAAATAGAACATATTCGGTGTTTGGCCCAGGATGTCAGCCTGAGATTTTCCCTAACACCAGGCTTTCTACAGTATGAGATCAAAGCTTTTGCCTGTTGGGCTACTTTATGTATGTTGCAAGTTTGTGTTTAGTTCTTTAGCACAGAAAAAAACATTTTGGTTGATGAATACTACAAAGTAAGAAACAAACATGTAAACAGTGGAATATCTTGTTTTAATCCAAGCAAAACTTTGTGTTTAGAAATCTGTAGAGGTTGAGATACACAAGTGACTTTATAGTTTACCAAATGCTTTTGCGTTTACTGTGGTTTTTGGTTTTGCTTAAAGGAAAACCAAAGAATAGGGAGGCATTTAAGAATCAACAAAACAAGATCACCTTCTTAGATTGGAGGGACAACCTTTAGGTGGTGGTGACATGTTATAATATATCCCAAGAAAATAAAGTTCCTATACCCCTGCTGAAAATTAAAAAGACACAGACTTCTATTTCAGGCAATGTGACTGGAGGAGTGAAAGTAGCTGCTGGGTCTGGCATTTTGAAATTGGAAAAGGAATCCCTTCCCTATGCACCCCTCCCCAAATCCCCTGAGGGCTCAAGTTGTATTTCCTTCTCAGTTGGGGTCAGTTTTAAAAGAGGACAGACTTGGGATTCAAAGACACCAGTGATGTATAAAATCAGTTAAGCACCCTCAGAGGCATAAGGGCCAGCATTACAGGAAATGAGCATTCTGTTTTAAATGTTGCATTGTTGCTTAAGACAGGGGTTTATCTTTCTTGAATTTGGCTATGCTATTTTCCTTCTAGCCCCTCAACTGGAGGTAGTAACAAACTAGGAATTGCTGCAGAACAGAGAACCATTTTTTTTTTTTTTAAGGTGGCATGCTGTTGTGGTAGACACATGCTGCTTCAACAGTTAAACTTCCATACATAAAAAGATTAAGAAGCACAAGGCAAAATAAAGTTGCAGTTTCAGCTTGAGTCCAAAGTAACAATCCCCTAAATTGATGCTAAAGTTACTTTGCTTAATTAAGAGCTTAAAAAAAATCAAGTTTTAAAAGCTAAAATATTATGCAAAAACTAATCTACTAATATTTTTCCTTTCTGAGGGTCTCAGAGGAAAGGAGTGTTCTTGATCATCCTTTTTAAAGTAAAAATTGTAGGCCAGGTAGAGCTTCAAGATTTATTTTGAGATTTAGGGCAGGAAGGAAATGAGGAGGGGATAAAATTACAGATTATTTCATACCTTTTTCCAGTTTTAAAAAGAAAGCTACTTTGACATTATAAATAGAGTAGTTTTTCTGAAAAAGAGTGGGGGTGGGCCCAAAATCTCTCTGAAGCCATTGTCCTGTCCATTTAAATGCAACTCCAGAAGGCTAGTACAGCAATACATTTCATCTACTAACTTTAGTGTAAAATAACTGGTACAGAATGTTGGGGTCTCTCTCTCAACAACAGCAAATACATATATACAAATGGGAATTATTGTTCTCAAAACTGGCCTCTGTCCATTTCCTGAATTAACTTTAACATTGTGGTTTAGTTGTTTTTGATAGGCAGAGTCGCAATTGTGATGAGGAAAAGGAGTTCTTGCACTAGTTAGGTGGCCAGGCAAGGTAACCAAGGGGTTCATTCTGGCTCCAGAAAGGGCAGAAGGTCATGCCCACTGACTGCAACCAGATCATCTCTACTCCTCAGAACTGGATCGACTCCACTCCACTGAACTGGATCATTCCCACTCCTGGAAAGTGGAAGTGGATCGTCCCTACTCCCTGAAGCTAGGAGCGAATCATCTCCACTCCCAGCTGAAGAAGGAAGGCAGTTACTGCTAAACTCTCTGTCACCCGCAACTCTGGACTTGATTGCCCCCATCAGACCTTCAAAAGATCTGAATGTGGTTGACTTCTTCATGTCTCCAAGCTTCCTGCGAATGGCAGAACCCATGGTGGACAGGGCAGCTGATGTCTTTTGTTTCATGTAAACACTGGAGACTTGAACATCAGGCCAGCCTTTGGACAGATTCTGCCTTAGCCCCACCAAGGCTATGAGGCCCAGCTTCCTCTTGAGCTCCATGCAACATCTTTCTTTGGCTGCCAGAGCGTGGCGTAGCGTTATAACTTCCTCTTCCACTTTAGTGAGCTCGGATTTGAGCTCCTTTCATTCAGCCTCTCTGAGATCCTCTGGTTCAGCAGTCAGGTGGGATTCATGTGTGTTTGCTTAGGTCACTGTCATGGTACCTGGCATGGAATGGGAAAGATCTTCATGAAGAGAGTCCAGGTCCAGTTCTTGGTACAGAGAGTCGTACATGTAGCCAGCAGAGAAATAATATTGGCCAACAGGGGTGAAATCTAAACCTGTGGGGTCCAACTCTTGGCTGGTGGTGTGGGGCTCTGGGAATGATGGATCCATATCTTAGGGGGTGGAACAGCCTCCTTAGCGGGTAGTTGGTTGTTCTGACGTTGCTCTGACATGAGAAATGGATGCCTCCGCTCAACGGGTCCACTTCCAGGTGAGGATAGGGAGTAGGTGGGTGGGGGCAGGGCCTTTCCCTGCTGGCTTGGTGGTGAGGAGGCGGGATTTCCGAACCAAAGGCAGCGGCAGAAGGACCCCACCCCTCCCAGAGGAACTTACTTGCAAACCTTGGATATAGGGGCGTGCCAGGCCGGATGGAGACATCCAATCAGTGAGGCATGCATATATTTACTGTGGTGAATTGAAATTCAGTTGGTCACTCATATTGCCGATGGAGAATGACTGTGCAGTTTTCCCTGTGTGTTGCAATCTCTTTGGCCACCGGTGTGTGGGCCGGGCTCAACTACCTCTATAAAGGTTAGTCTGTGAGGCTGGGTTGGGGGGAGTAGTAGCAGTAGTCGTTGGGGTAGTCGTTGGGTGATAGTCATTGGGAGTGGCCTTGCCACCGCCAGTGGCGTCGTTGGGGGCGTAGTTGTTAGTGTAGCCCTCGGGGAGCAGCCTTGTCCTGGGAAGCAGCCTCATCAGAGGAGGAGAGTCTGTCCTCGTCGTCGTCGCCTCTTTGTAAGAGACGGCCCCTACTGGTTGGTTTGATTTTTGATGCTTGGCACGAAATAAAGCTTTGCTTGATGTTCGCTTTGCATCAGTCTTGTTCCTTTGATCACAGACCCTAACACTTATTACATCATATGCCCTCCTTATATTCTTCACCCTCTTACCTCATCCCCTTATCCCTCTTCCTTCCAGCCACCCTCAGTTTGTTTACTATGAATAAGAGACTCTTATGGTTTGTCTTCTCCTCTAATTTTGTCTTATTTTATTTTTCCTCTCTTGCCCCATGATCCTCCCTTTTGTTTCTCAAATTCCACATATCAGTTTCTCTGATTGACTTATTTCCCTTAGCATAATCTCCACTAGTTCCAACCATCTTGTTGCAGATGGCAAGATTTCATTTTTTTTTTGGTGGTACTACTCAGCCACTAAAAAAATGAAATCTTGCCATTTGCATTGGGGTGGAGAATGAGCCCAGATGTCCATCGACAGATAAATAGATAAAGAAGATGCAGTATCTGTTGATGGGACATCTGGACTCTTTCCATAGTTTGGCTATTGTGGGTATTGCTGATATGAACATTGGGATGCAGGCACCCATTCAGATCACTACATTTGTATCTTTGGGGTAAATCCTTAGTAATGCAATTTCTGTGTCATAGGATAGCTCTATTTGTAACCTTTTTTTTTATTGTGTTATGTTAGTCACCATAAAATACATCATTTCTTTTTGATGCAGCATTCCAAGATATTTGTAACTTTTTGAGGAATCTCCATACTGTTTTCCAGAGTCATTGAATCAGCTTGCATTCCCACCAGCAGTGTAGTGGGTTCCCCTTTCTCTACCTTCTCACCAACATCTGTTTTTTCCTGTCTTGTTAATTTTAACCATTCTGACTGGTGTGAGGTGGTATCTCATTATGGTTTTGATTTGTATTTCCCTGATGACAACTGATGTGGAGCATTTTTTCATATGCCTGTCGGCCATTTGTACATTGTCTTTGAAGAAATATCTGTTTATTTCTTTTGCCCATTTCTTGATTGGTTAATTTGTTTTTTGGTGTTGAGTTTGATAAATTCTTTATAGACTTTGGATGCTAGCCCTTTACCTTATAAGACATTTGCAAATATCTTCCATTCTGTTGGTTGTCTTTTGGTTTTGTTGACTGTTTTCTTCATTGTGTAAAAACTTTTTATTTTGATGATGTCCCTATAGGGACCTTGTCTTTGGAGATGTGACAAGAAGTTGCTGCAGCTGAGGTCATAGAAGTTGCTGCCTGTGTTTTCCTCTAGGGTGCTGATGGATTCTTGTCTCACATTTCTGTCTTTCATCCATTTTGAATCTATTTGTGTTTGTGGTGTAAGAAAATGGTCTGGTTTCATTCTTCTGCATGTGGCTGTTCAGTTTTCTGACACCGTTTTTTGAAGATACTCTTTTTTTTTTCCCCCATTGGATATTCTTTCCTGCTTTGTCAAAGATTAATTGACCATAGAGTTGAGGATTCATTGATCTATGTGTCTGTTTTTGAGCCAGTAGCATACTCTCTTGATGATTACAGCTTTGTAATAGAGCTTGAAGTCCACGATTAGGATGCCACACTTTGGTTTTCTTTTTCAACATTCTTTTGTATATTCAGGGTCTTTTCTTGTTCCATACAAATTTTAGGATTGTTTGTTCCAGCTTGGTGAAAAATGTCGATGGTGTTTTGATAGAGATTGCACTGAATGTGTACCCAGATTGCTCTGAGTAGTATAGATATTTTAACAATATTTGTTCTCCCAATCCATGAACATGGAATGTTTTTCCATCTTTTTGTGTTTTCCTCAGTTTCTCAAATGTTCTATAGTCTTTAGAGTGCAGAGCCTTTGCCTCTTTGGTTAGGTTTATTGTTAGGTACCTTATGGGTTTTGGTGCAGTTGTAAATGGGATCAATTCCTTAATTTCTCTTTCTTCTATCTCATTGTTAGTGTAAAGAAATGCAACTGATTTCTGTGCATTGATTTTATATCCCACATTTTTGCTGAATTCCTGTATCAGTTCTAGCAATTTTTGGTGGAGTCTTTTGGGTTTTCAACACAGGGTATCATGTCTTCTGTGAAGAGTGAGAGTTTGACTTCTTCTTTGCCACTTCAAGCAAAGACTATTGTACCATGAGAAATTAGGAGAGAAGGAATAAGACATAGGCAAATTGACGATATATGGGTTTTTCAATATTGTTGTTGCATTTTTTTCCCAAGCAACCACTTATGTTTCTGAATGTATGTCTGCCCACATACATGGTTATTAGATGTGGAAGATGGTCTGCAAAGTAAAATAGTAGTTGGATAGTGTCTTTCAGGATATAAAACCACCATATCCCTTATTTCGATTCAGAGCTTGTAATGCATACAATGGAAAAATCAGGACTTCAGTCCAGTGAGGGGAGGTGGTCACATATCACTTAGACCATTGTTAGGCTGCCCATGCCCAAGGAATAGCTTGAGCAAGTTTTAGATTCTAGTGATTTTGTTGGAGATTCTGGTAGTTATTGCAAGCATGATCTTGTGGGACATGATGTGATCCTTAGCAAATTTTGGCAATTTGCCATATGCATGCCCTATGTAGTTACAACGAAACATCTAACTAGGCATCCAAACTAACTTTAAGCCTCCCTTCGGGTTTACATTAAATAACCTTTTCACATAACTCAATAGTGTTTATTATGTCTTGCTCTGAAGTGTGTGCTTCCCTAGATTAAAAAACGAGGATTTTTCTTGTTGGAAACATGAAAACTGTTGAGGGTTTGGCTATGGGTATAAAGGCCTGAAAAGGGCAACAAGGACTGCCTAAAAAATATTTTGTTCCACAGGGTGGACTTTTCTCTATTGCCTGTGGAAATACTAGTGGTTTCAGGAATGGTCTCTCTGAACCAGAACTCTTTCAAAACTGAGGATGAAAGTTAAAGAACACCTTGAATTAAGCTAAATAACAGGGAGCACACATTGTCCATTCAAAGTCAATTATCATATGGTTTCATTTATTTGTGGAGCAAAGGAATAACATGGAGGACATCAGAAGAAAGAAAGGAAAAGTGAATTGGGGTAAATTGGAGGGGGAGATGAAGCATGAGAAACTGTGGACTCTGAGAAACAAACTGAGGAATTTGGAGGGGAGGAAGGTGTGGGGTTGGGTAAGCCTGGTGGTGGATATTAAGGAAGGCACGTATTTCATGGAGTACAGGGTGTGGTGCATAAACAATGAATCTTGGAACACTGAAAAAAATAAAGTAAAATTAAGATGTTAAAAAAAAAATTCCAAATGACCAGATTTGAATTTGCATTTGATTATTCTTCTCTGAAATATTTCAGCTACCAGTCTCACTTCCTATTTTGTTTCTATGCTTCCATACCCTTAAATTCAAGGAATGAAATCCCTTGTTAAACTTTGATTCTTGTAAGTAGTGTAAAGATCCAAATCAGGGGCACCTGGGTGGCTCAGTGGGTTAAAGCCTCTGCCTTTGGCTCAGGTCATGATCCCAGGGTCCTGAGATCAAGCCCCACATCGGGGTCTCTGCTCAGCAGGGAGCCTGCTCCCCGGCCTCCCCCCCCCCCCGCCTCTCTGCCTACTTATGATTTCTGTCTGTCAAATAAATAAAATATTTTAAAAAAAGATCCAAATCAAAACATGGCTTCTGGAAGAGTGCCTCCTAGCTAGCAGTGTTCTGACCTCCTGAGCAGACTTACCTGTACAAATAAGTCACACAATAGAACAATCCATTTCATTAGGTTTATGCATAGCCATGTACAAAACAGCACTTATATTTTGAATACATAGAACTTTCAAATGAAATTTCATTTAATTTATAATGATTCTAGTCAATTGTTTGAATAAACTATCCTATTAAGTTGCGAAATACCAAACTATTGGTTCATGGTTTTACAATCTTACATCTCTAGATTAGACAGTGAAATTTCTATCACATAGAAAGGCCCACAAAGTTGTTAATCTGAAACTGAAATCTTTTTGATGGTACTTAGGTACCAAACAGCCAAAATATTTGATTCAGTAACCTATGAAGAAAGAACTTGAGGATTGTTTTTAATCCTACAACAGTTTGCTATCTTTTGTTTCCAAGGAAGAAATTATTTACCCATTTTAGTAAACAATGAATGTTAATTATTTTTCTAGTAAGAGTGATGAATTTATATACTGATCCTTCATAGACATAAAGGTAAATGGTACAACAAAAATGATGTTTTTTTTCTCCTCCTAATGTTTAGAAGCTTGTATGTTTTGTTTTATAAATAAATTATTGAAACTAGTATGTAAAAGCAAAGCTGTAACCTTCACCAGTTCTGGATTGTTTAGGATAAAAGAAGTAAGGCTGTAGGATTGGATACTTGAGTTGAAAAATGATTAAGGACTAGTACCAATGCAAGCAGGTTTAACCATTTGACTTCTTTTGTTATAAAAGATCAATATAGAGCTTCTCTTTTTTGCCTCTTTTCTTTTTCTCCTTCCTTCCTTCCTACCTTCCTTCTTTCCTTTCTCCCTTCCTTCCTTCCTTATTTAAATTCAATTGGCCAACATATAGTACATCAT